GGTGTGGAGCTGGGACCGCAGGCGAGCGGCCGCGACGAGAAGACCCTACGCTGTCCATCGACCTCACCTTCCACCTCCTGCGGACCCTGCTGGAGCTGGCGCGGACGCAGAGCCAGCGGGAGCGCGCGGAGCAGAACCGCATCCTGTTCGACTCGGTGGGCAAGTGACCCGCGGGGCCTGGGGCCCCGAAAACCTCGACCCCACCCCCCACCCCCGGGCTGGCACCTGCTCGACCGGAACTGACCCCTCCCGCGGGGCTGGAGCGGCCGGGGATGCCTTGAACATTCTCTGCGTTGCTAGTTTTTAATAAAAGTGCCGAAGAGCCTTTGGCCTCTGTTGTGGGGCGCGGGGGGCAGGGTGGGCGCCCACAGCGAAGCGAGGGAACTGCTGCCAGACGAGCACTTAGGAGAACGGTCCAGATCTCCTTTGCCCCTAAAAGTCCCCCAGGAGCTCGTCCCTTCCCTCCACCGCACCCCCTACTCCTTGCCTGTGGCTGGGCTGGGGAATCCGTGCCTCCAATCAACGAGGCGCCCAATAGGGGTTCATTCACAACCCTCCATCACCCGCCCGCTGGTCCCAGATCTGGAGAAAGGGGGACGGGGACGGTCGCCCCCGAAGCCAAGGCTGATGGGCAGAGAAAGGAGCTGCGGATCGGGCCGCGTTAGCCTTTATTGAGCTTCCCCGGCGGCGGGTGCCGAGCGGGCGCGCGTGGTCTCTGCGCAGATCCTCGAACCCGGAGCGCGAGGTCCCCACAGGGAAGCTCAGTGCAGGCCTGTCCCCGGGAAAGAGCGCGCGGTGAGCGGGGGCTCCGAGGGACAAGGCGACCGGACCCCGGCTCACCCCTCTCCCAGCCCCGCGGGTGTCTCCTCACTTCCCCGCCCTCTGCCCTCCCCAAGCAGAGGGAGGGTCGGCGGGAACGAAAGTGTCGGGGGGGGGGCGTGGGAGAGGGCACAGCGTGGATCAATGGGGATGGAGATGACATTTCATTGAAAAAGAATAGAAAGTGTCCCTCGGCCCGGCGCTAGGGGCGCTCCTTCCTGCGGGGGCGGGGCGGCCCCGAAAAGGCGCGGAGG